ATGGACACAGCTCACTCACTACACTACCTGCATGGACACAGCTCACTCACTACACTACCTGCATGGACACAGCTCACTCACTACACTACCTGCATGGACACAGCACGCTCACTACCCTACCTGCATGGACACAGCACACTCACTACCCTACCTGCATGGACACAGCTCACTCACTACACTACCTGCATGGACACAGCACGCTCACTACCCTACCTGCATGGACACAGCTCACTCACTACCCTACCTGCATGGACACAGCTCACTCACTACACTACCTGCATGGACACAGCTCACTCACTACACTACCTGCATGGACACAACACGCTCACTACCCTACCTGCATGGACACAGCTCACTCACTACACTACCTGCATGGACACAGCTCACTCACTACACTACCTGCATGGACACAGCACACTCACTACTCTACCTGCATGGACACAGCACGCTCACTACACTACCTGCATGGACACAGCACGCTCACTACACTACCTGCATGGACACAACACGCTCACTACACTACCTGCATGGACACAGCACACTCACTACACTACCTGCATGGACACAGCACACCCACTACACTACCTGCATGGACACAGCTCACTCACTACACTACCTGCATGGACACAGCACGCTCACTACACTACCTGCATGGACACAGCACACTCACTACACTACCTGCATGGACACAGCACACCCACTACACTACCTGCATGGACACAGCACGCTCACTACACTACCTGCATGGACACAGCACACCCACTACACTACCTGCATGGACACAGCACACTCGCTACACTACCTGCATGGACACAGCACACTCGCTACACTACCTGCATGGACACATCACGCTCACTACACTACCTGCATGGACACAGCACACCCACTACACTACCTGCATGGACACAGCACACTCACTACACTACCTGCATGGACACAGCACACTCACTACCCTACCTGCATGGACACAGCACACTCACTACCCTACCTGCATGGACACAGCACACTCACTACACTACCTGCATGGACACAGCACACTCACTACACTACCTGCATGGACACAGCACACTCACTACACTACCTGCATGGACACAGCACGCTCACTACACTACCTGCATGGACACAGCACACTCACTACCCTACCTGCATGGACACAGCACACTCACTACACTACCTGCATGGACACAGCACACTCACTACACTACCTGCATGGACACAGCACACTCACTACACTACCTGCATGGACACAGCACACTCACTACCCTACCTGCATGGACACAGCACACTCACTACACTACCTGCATGGACACAGCACACTCACTACCCTACCTGCATGGACACAGCACACTCACTACACTACCTGCATGGACACAGCACGCTCACTACACTACCTGCATGGACACAGCACGCTCACTACACTACCTGCATGGACACAGCACACTCACTACCCTACCTGCATGGACACAGCACGCTCACTACACTACCTGCATGGACACAGCACGCTCACTACACTACCTGCATGGACACAGCACACTCACTACCCTACCTGCATGGACACAGCACACTCACTACCCTACCTGCATGGACACAGCACGCTCACTACCCTACCTGCATGGACACAGCTCACTCACTACCCTACCTGCATGGACACAGCTCACTCACTACACTACCTGCATGGACACAGCACACTCACTACCCTACCTGCATGGACACAGCACACTCACTACACTACCTGCATGGACACAGCTCACTCACTACACTACCTGCATGGACACAGCGGGACCGATGGGGAAGGTCCTGGACTCCTGCTCCTCGCCCGGAACACTGCGGCCTAGGATGGAAAGGCTTACCGAGCTTTGCCCAGTACCCATCTTACTATTTGTTCCGGGGGACTCGGTGCAGTGGCAGAGATGAGTTTGCTTCAAGGTGTCTCCCAGGTGAAGCCAACTTCTGGCTTGTTCACTTGGGAGAGAAAATCCTTTGAAAGAGCTCCCCCTCTCACTCTCCTCTCACCCTCTCGTCATCACGAGTCTTGCTTTGAGCCCAGGGACTTTCCTGACAAAGGCAAGTTGTCTCATATCTTGAAAACCTTCCGCCCCCCCCCCCCCATCATGGCGTCCTCCCGTTCCGAGAGCTGCGTTCTCTGGCCCCTGTCCTGGACAGACGAGCCGTGCACCGCGGAGGTGTCCGGGTTGTCTTCACACCCGTCACAAACGCCGACCTCGTCTCCCCAGGCCGTCACTTCAGCAGCCGTGTGCCGGAGAGCGACTCCTGCCTCCCAGCAGCAACGGCACGGGGCACGAAGCCGGCACCGTCGAATCAGGGCCCCCCCACCCCCCACCCCCCCGTCTCCGCTACAAGGGGCGCTCGCTAGCCGGTTGAGGCCGAGGGTCGCCCCCCCCCCCCCTCCGTGTCGGTGACTCTCACACCCAGAGGGGTTTGGCCCAGGGGAGAGCGGTCGCAGCGGCGGCGCCGCCATCGTCTGTGCCCACGAGGTGAAGACGACGTTGGTCAAGCGACAAGAAACCTTTGCTCCCACCCTCCGTCTCCCTCCTTCTCCCTGCCTCCTTCTCCCTCTTCCCCCTATTGCCACCAGAGAGAGCTGCAAACATTCCAAGTGTGTCGCGCCGCGTCTGCGAGTCAAGGACGACCACACTTCCACCGCATCGGCAACACCAGAGCCAACGCGGTGGAAGTGGGCGCTTTGGTAACGTAAGAGAGGTTTTCTGGGTTCACGAAAGCCTACGTGTTAAACAAAAATCAGTCCGTTAAAAGGATACACCGGGGGGGGGGGGGGATCTTTGTCTTTGTATGCATCTGTACGTGCGTGCGTTTCGTGTGCGTTTGCGCGCGTGAAAACGCGTGCGTATCCGAGCGAAAGCGTGTGACAGCGCCGTGCTGTGTGCCGTGCGCGTGCGAGCTCACAGCCTGCGGGTGACCCGTATGGAGACTCCACGCAGAGCCATTCTGCTCGCGCGCTGGGGTCACGCTCCCCACCACCCCCCACCACCCCCCACCTCGCCCGCTCGCCGCCACAGCGGCCCTGGCGGCGGCCGCCCCCCCGATGAGCGTTTGTTGCCCCTGACCTGCGTCTCTGCCTCCATCTCATCGCCGCCGCCGCCGCGTCCACACACAGCCGAGGCACCGTGACAGACGCACGCACACTCGGCCTCGTCATCACCGCACGGGGGGGGGATGACCACGGCAGAAGCAGCACCTGCCTGGTCCACACGGGGTCTGGGGGGCCGGGAGCGGGGGGGGGGCCTGGTGGACCCATGGCGCATGAATGACCACAAATGATGGAAAGTCAATGGACGGACGAGCGAACTGCAAGTGCACGCCAGATGAATGACCCGATGGACTCGTTGATTCCTCCACCCGACCAAACTGCGTTCAACCGCCGCCACACCGCAGGTCACGGCGACACACTCGCTCACCCGAACACTGCAGGTCAACAACAACACACTCACCCACACTCACTCACCCTAACACTGCAGGTCAACAACAACACACTCACCCACACTCGCTCACCCTAACACTGCAGGTCACAGTAACACACTCACCCACACTCGCTCACCCTAACACTGCAGGTCAACAACAACACACTCACCCACAATCGCTCACCCTAACACTGCAGGTCAACAACAACACACTCACCCACACTCGCTCACCCTAACACTGCAGGTCACAGCAACGCACTCGCTCACCCACACTCGCTCACCCTAACACCGCAGGTCACAGCGACACACTCGCTCACCCTAACACTGCGGGTCAACAACAACAACAACACACTCACCCACAAAGTCTCACTCACTCACCCTAACACTGCATGTCAACAACAACACACTCGCTCTCTCACACAGTCTCGCTTGCCCAAACATTCAACGACTCGCTCACACACTCCCTCCCTCAATCAACCGCCAATCACTCAACGACTCACTCACTCACCCACACAACAGCCACCACTCCCCACAAAGTCACAGTGACGCCACCACGGCACTCGTGCCAGGCTAGGTGCACTTTGAGGCCACGTGAAGTGTCCACAACAAGTCGGTCACGGGCTATACCCAGGTGCCATGAGCTGAAATGACTGGCAGATGCACCACCTGTGCCCCTCATTGTGCCAACTTGCTGCGTTTCAGCGCTCCGCTCGTTGCTGCGAGCGTCGCTCCTCTACCCTCCGCTGCCGTTGGAGGGCGACTGCCTCCAACTGCCCAACAGCAGCAGCAGCAGCAGCGTCCTTCACGAGCCTCCTGCTCCACATCGGCAAGTGCCCTCAGCCTCCACATCCTCCCGTACCGCATCAGCTACATCTCTTCTCCAGCCTGTGCCGTGCCCGTTTAACCCCCCCCCTCGATTCGACCAAACAGAAGGCTGCTTTCGGCTTGACGGGCGATGCGTGGCGAGGTGGTGGTGACGAGGTGACAATGGAGCGGTGCCTGACGAGGTGGTGACGAGGTGATGACGAGGTGGTGGTGACGAGGTGGTGGTGACGAGGTGGTGGTGATGAGGTGGTGGTGGTGATGACGAGGTAGTGGTGACGAGGTGGTGGTGTGGTGGTGGTGACGAGGTGGTGATATGGTGGTGGCATGGTGGTGGCGTGGTGGTGGCGTGGTGGTGGCGAGGTGGTGGTAACGAGGTGGTGGTGGTGACAAGGTGGTGGTGGTGGCGAGGTGGTGGCGAGGTGGTGGTGACGAGGTGGCGGTGACGAGGTGGTGGTGGTGACGAGGTGGTGGTGGTGGCAAGGTGATGACGAGGTGGTGTGACGAGGTGGTGGTGGTGATGACGAGGTGATGACGAGGTGGTGTGACGAGGTGGTGTGACGAGGTGATGACGAGGTGGTGTGACGAGGTGGTGTGACGAGGTGATGACGAGGTGGTGTGACGAGGTGGTGTGACGAGGTGATGACGAGGTGGTGTGACGAGGTGGTGGTGGTGGTGACGAGGTGATGACGAGGTGGTGGTGACGAGGTGGTGGTGACGAGGTGGTGTGACGCTGACCGCGACATCCTCGGCCTTGACTCCGTCGAGGAGGCAGCGCAGCAGCTCCTGGCTGTCCTGCTGCTGGAAGCCCTTGAAGCGAGGACACCTGGGGGGGGGGGGGGGGGCAAACCCCGGCATGTGACAGACACCCAGCACGTGACAGAGACACCCAGCACGTGACAGAGACACTGAGCACGTGACAGAGACACCCGGCACGTGACAGAGACACTGAGCACGTGACAGAGACACTGAGC